TTAACAATCCTGCGCAGAAGGTCATAAACAGGGCCAATCAGCCTCAAACACTTGCCTGGAAACTTGCCTGTCACAGCACTGTAAATGGCCACTGCACGCAGTTCAAAGAGAATTGGTCTGGTATGCAGAGAGGTGCACATAATATAATTTATCATTCTATAGGTAATGCTCAATTCAGTTGCTGTGAACTTTTTGAGAACTTTATTTTTGCATCATATGGAAATTCACTAGATTAATTATTAATTTGGTTTGTGTAGCCATGACTCGCTGAAAACAAAGAACATGGACACAAAAACAAACAAAAACAATAATAATAATAATAATAATGTTAATGATGATGATAATAATGATAATGATAATAATAATAATAATAAAGGACAGAAGAACATCATATTAAGTCAAACCGACAGTCTTCTTCTATAATTTACTTCTTATTGAAGATACTTGAAAGGTGAAATTAGTAATAAGCAGATGTTCAATAGTTTTGATTAAATTTGGTCTATTCAGATCCCCCAGTTATCCTTTCCCAGTCTACCTGTCTCTTGAAACAAGATGTTCCGAGAGCTGTCAGCCAAGTAGACACAATACGTTTGACACCCATTCATCCATTCTCTTCCAATTCAGGGCCCCAGCTGTCAGAGGACAAGAGGTAGGGTACACCGTGGACAGTGTTGGGAAGGTTACTTTTGAAATGTATTCCATTACAGAATACAGAATACATGCCCTAAAATGTATTCTGTACCGTATTCCGTTATGTTACTCAATGAGAGTAACGTATTCTGAATACTTTGGATTACTTAACTTAAATTATCATGCATTTTACAACTACGTGAATGTACTATTGCTGTGTGATTTATTACTATTACTGAAGGTCCGCGGCTCCGAACCGTAGTAAAGGGACCTCTGACTAATACGGGTTCCTTGTCGGGCTTGTAGCCGAAAAATGGCTTTACTTTGTCTGGGTCAACTCTGCTTGCGAGAGACAGAGAGAAGCTTGAAAGGCTGCTCCAACGGAACTTATTGTTTCGGAGGAAAACACAAACACAGCGTCCAGTCGAGTCTTAATAGCTTACTTACAACTGGGCTTGGCTGCAGTGGTTAATATTATATTTACATGCTTCCAGCTCCCGTTTTTGCTCGATGACAACACGTACTTTTCGACTCTCCTTTTTCTTCCACCTCGCGCTCACAGACACATAACGAGTATGGCAGTCCATTCTCCCTGCAGCACGGACTACACTGCCCATGAGGCTACATTCTTTAGGGCTATGCCTGTAGTATTCTGCCTATTAGCTTAGCACAACAACAACAACAAAAAGGCGCTCTCTCACCCAGGAAACACGCAGAGCGTCCCCCTGTAACCATGGCAACCGCAACGCTGCCGCCTGGAACTACAGAACATAGCTGTCAAACAAAACCGAAACACTCCTGACCTGCGACAATATGAAACAGGAAAGTACCGCAGTGTAATCCATTTATTTCAACAAAGTAACTGTATTCTGAATACCACCTTTTTAAACGGTAACTGTAACGGAATACAGTTACTCATATTTTGTATTTTAAATGCGTAACATGTATTCCGTTACTCACCAACACTGACCGTGGACAGGTCGCAAGTCTCTCAAGGGCTAACACAAAGACATAGACAGACAACCATTCACACTCACATTCACACCTATGGGCAATTTAGAATCACCAGTTAACCTAACCCCACTAACTGCATGTCTTTGGTTTGCGGGAGGAAGCCAGAGTACCCAGAGAGAACCCACAGAAAAATGGAGAGACCACGCAAACTCCACACAGAGAGACCCTGGCCTGACGGTGGAATTGAACTCAGGACCTTCGTGCTGTGTGACAACATGATACCTCTATATTATTTCAAGCGATTCTTTAGTGCTCATTCAACTCTGTCTCGACAAATGAATACAAAAATTTGGTCTCTGGTAAAATAAGGATCCCAGCTAAACTATGAACAGTGCAACCTGGATAACACTCAGAAATAACACCAGACAGCTGTCTGAAGGCAATGTGTGTATGTCAGTAATATTTCTGATTAAAAGTTATTGACTGTGTGTCATATTGTTACTCAAAAAGCTTTATTCTCGGTGGCCTCTTTGCTAATGTGGTCGTGCTTGGACCGCATTAGTATTAAAAGTTGGAACTGTTATCCTGATTGACTGTGAAATGTTCTATAATAAAAATATATTCCACCATCAGATTGTTTTGTATTGTTTAATCTTTGAAACTATAAAACTGGATATTTTGTTGAATAATTTACACAAATGTATTTCTAATGGTCTAAATTTAAAAGAGACCTTTAATTGCTTGGTTAAAGTCACATATTATTCTTGACTAACAAGAATAAAGATACAAGTCTGAAAGGTAAATAAAGTCAGCAGATGTACTTTGGCTTTGAGCAAAGGGTTAAACTGGGCAAGAAGAATCTGGTAAGGCATTCAGTATTTTCAGTAAATGAGAAATTAAATCTGAGGTGCTGATTAATGCATAATATCGAGTGCATGGTGATATTTACTCAAAAACTAAGAAAAAATCACTTCCCACAGTCCTCCTTACATCCTTAACACATCCTGTTGTCCTGCTCATCACTGTGATGTGGGCACAGTGCAGATAAGATAAATTTACAGCCTGTACATAACAAAAAATCTAGTAGAGCTAGCAGTAGAAACTACAGTAACTTGTTTTTAAATTACTTGTTTTCCACACATTAAACCACTATGTTATGTATCTTTTTCTCGTCTGTCAAACCCCACTTTAACCCCTGGTGGTCAGTGTTAGTGTTTTGATATAACAAGGAGTATATGGGATAAACTCAGGATATAGAGCAGACCGTCAATCTTCAGCTCTTTCAGTCTATGTGCTGTAAAGTCCTTAGGCATGACATAAACCACAAATCGCCCCTGATGCATCCAGTGACTTGAAAACTGTTTTTATACTGAAGGCTACATGTATAGGTAATCTCCACAGTGCTCCTAAAATCACAAATTTCTCATGGAGCAATGGAAAATATCTTGAATTCTAATAAATGCAGGCTTCTGGACTTACGAAATCCAAATCAGAATCAATCAGAATCAGAATACTTTATTAATCCCGAAGGAAATTACTATGATAATAATTTATTTTGGTGACAGGAGGTCCTTTGTTAACATATCTAAGATGAAAGTCAACATGAGCTGCGGTTATTTATTTTAGTTAATATTAACCTACTGGTGTCTGCTGTTAGTCATTGTAGTGTGCCCCAGTGTGTCGCATGGAGTTTTAAGCTTCTAACACTTTATATCCTGGATTAGAAACTGGAGGTCTTTGATGAAAAGAACAGAACGGAGTGTTAATTGTGAAGTTTTGACATCGGAGATATATTATACCACTTGGTAAGTAAAAATATACCAAGATCCTATTTGCTACTGAAAATCATCTACTGATGACAGCTGACTGCCTCGTTTGTTTTAGCACCTTTAAGTGATTGAAGTAATGAAACACATTTTCCTAAATAACTGTATCTATACTAATGGAAAATGTTAATTGTTTAGCAAGCAACACTGATGCTTTAGTATTATCTATTGAACATAACTGCAAGACATTGATTTTCCTTTATTGTTTAACTAGAGACATTCACTTTCTGAAGTTTGAAAATTCCTACATTACTTGCCAATTAACATCTGTAAATTTATTGTATTCATTACTGTTTGGTTTGATATATTAGATTTAATAATACTGTATATGTATAAGATGTATGAGAAGCATAGAAGAAGAAGTTAATCTGTGTTGTTTATTTTGGTTTAGGTCCATAATGGAGTCCACTGTGAGCAGTGAGATCATTCTCTTCATTTACATCATTTCATTCCTGATTGGCTTCCCCTGCAATCTCTTGGCTCTCTATGCGTTTAGTGTCAAGATCCACTCCAAGCCACTTCCAACAGACATCCTGCTACTCAATCTGACTGTCTCTGACCTGCTGTTTTTGATCATTCTGCCTCTCAAGATGCACGAGGCAGCATCTGGTATGAAATGGAATTTATCTCATTTCATGTGCTCCATCACATCCTTTGCTTTTTTCTCCACAATCTACACCAGCTCCTTGCTGCTGATGGCAGTCAGCGTGGTCCGCTACATAGGAGCAGCATTTCCTATCACTTATCATAAACTGCACAAACCCGTGTATGCAGTTGCTATTAGTGCTGTTATTTGGCTGATCTCGACAGCACACTGCAGTATCGCTTTCATCATCCAGCATCACCCATCTCTGTCTAGCAATAACTCCAGTGTGTGCTATGAACACATCACAAAAAAGCAGCTGGAGATCCTCCTCCCAGTACGTCTGGAGTTTTTCTTTGTACTCTGCCTCATACCTCTTCTTATTTGTGTTTACTGCTACTTGCGCTGCATCTCGATTCTGTACAGCCGGTCCAGAATATCCCAGATGCAGAAACAGAAGGCCATTGGCATGGCCTCAGGGACTCTTGCTGTGTTCCTCATTTGTGTTCTGCCATACAATTTATCTCATTTAGTGGGTTACATCCAGGGACAAAGCCCAGAGTGGAGGTACTACACCTTTCTGCTTAGCTGTTTCAACACTTTCATTGATCCCATTATCTTCTACTTTTCCTCCTCCAACTTCTACTTCTTTAGAGAAAAGATTATTTTTAGGAAGTGTAGGTGCACTGATTCAAGGCTGCAAGCGTAGACCAACAACTCTAGCTAAGATTGAAAATGTAAAAATTACATCATATTTGATATCACATGTACATTTTCATTTTATTATATTAATTTACTATGAATTACAGAAATTGTATCAGAATTTGAGCCTTATATTTAACAATTCATACATACAGACCTGTATCTGAAATCTTTTAAAATATTCAAGCTTAAATTTGGATATCTTACTATTGCTTATGATCCTAAGCTGTTTAATAGGATTGTGTTATCCTTGACCATTTTCTTAAAAATAAAAAAATAAAAAAAATACACATTTGGTACATATGCAGTTTTCCAAATTTTATTGTTTTCCACCACGGTGCCAATCTTTAAATGTAAACTAATGTCTTCCGCAGCCCTGACACACTTTTTCCTCTTTCCATTAACGTGGGCCAGCCACTCTTCTGCACTCATGCATTCTGTAGGCACACATGTAGAATATACCTGCAAAACATCAACAAAAGTCATCTTTAAAGAGACATAGAGACAATTTGTATAATATAACATGCCAAACAGACTTTGATTTCTGATAGTAAAACATATATTTCGTGTATGGAGTAGAAGATTTAGAAAATATATACATGGCCTGTATTTGTATAGTGCTTTACTAGTCCCTAAGGATCCCAAAGTGCTTTACACATCCAGTCATCCACCCATTCACACACATATTCATACACTGGTGATAGCAAGCTACATTGTAGCCACAGCCACCCTGGGGCGCACTGACAGAGGCGAGGCTATGATGGATAGTTTGACAAGTAAAGACTGTACTAACTCAGAAATCCAGCAGCTCTAACATACCGGTATATAAGTATGGATAACATTTTCAGAAAATGAAAGTGTTCATAAAACTCAAATGTATTTGTGTTATTATAATTAAGAAATTAATAAATGAGACCTGCTGTAATTTTGGTTTATTCAATGCTTTTCTGCATTTCCAAAAACTGTTAAATATCTCTGTACTGATACTAAGATTCATCTAGATAAACAAACCTGCAAAGAAGGTCATTAGCAGGGCCACCCAGCCTAGTATGTAGGACCAAGAGAAGCGCCAGTCACCAAAGCGCTTGCCCAGGAAGTTCACAGTCACCCCAGTGTAAATGGCCATTGCAAGCAGAACAAAGAGAGCTGGTATATTGGACACACAGTTAGACATAATATGATACTAATATGATAAAAAATAATGATACTATCAGTTTCCAAATAATCACTTTAATAAATGTTAAAATGTTAATTGTTTTCTGCATCAATGACTTACTTGAAACAAAGAACATGATTCCAGCGGCAAATGATCGGTTGAACCGCTCAAAGGCAGAAAAGTGGGCAAAGGAGAGGATTCCTGCGATGATGCCAGCAAAGCATGACATGGCCGACAGGATCATAAAAGCACGAGTGGCATTCCAGTATGCTGAGGAGGAGTAAAACAAGAAAATACTATGAAGATGTATGCTAGAAGAACTACAACATACTAGCACTAACCAGGAAATTACAGATGTATTTATTATATATTTTAGATGTTAAAAAAAGATCAATTTGAGTTCAGAATAAGATTCTGTCCAAATATAACTCATAAACTTGTAACTTTCTCTATTGTAATGCATAATATAAATTAAAAAAAAACAAAAGACAACTTTTATCAACTTGAACTTGCATTGGAATATATTAATAATTTAATATATTTACTAAAAATATTTGAGATCTATTTTGGTGTACTGACTCTTTGATTCCTTGTGCGGTGTATGGTTGTAATTGCAATTAATACAATTTATTCCAATTTCATTTATGACATCAGCAGCAGCTGTTAGGGTAGCCAAACATTAGTATGATGTAATGCTGAAACCAAGGGGCATCATGGGTTATTGCCACCAATACAGGGATCCAAAGTTATTCTTTTTGTCCTCAGAGTGACATAGATTAGTTGGATGAGGCGGAAAGTTCAAGTAGTGGACATAATGATCATTTTAAATTATTACATATTTGAAAAACTGATTTTTCATTGTCTGCAGTTGTCATGTCCAAAACTGCCCAATCTCATTGGTTATTAGACTGTCACCAGATAACCAATGAGAATGGGCCTCAGCAGTCCTTTGTATTATAAACATCGATGGGCCAATTTTAGCATGCAAATAAGTTTATTAAGAATAAAAGGTAAACCATTATATGTCCTAAGCATCAGCAGTGTAACTGTGATCATACTGGCATGCTAACATTAGAGCAAATACCACAGAGGTTGGCTATAAACTTGGTCTTGGACTTTCAATCGGTAATAGTATAAACGTAATGTCTAATGAAAGTCAAAAAATTCCTGTTGATGCACCTTAAAAGTAAGAAAAGTTGGCTTCTGACCAGATAAACAACTGTCTCCGGGGAGGATCACTGTTCCTTACAAAGTTTTAAATGTAATGAATTTGGGTGGAGGACGATTCCCTACTTACCAATGCTGTCAGTTTGCATGTAGCACTTTCCAGACATGCAGTATCTCCACAAGCCCTGATGGGCGAAGCTGCCAGACAGACGGTACTGCATCCAGTAGTCTGTGGCTGTGGAGACCACCAACAGGATGTTCCCCACAATGGCACAAAAAAGGCCCCCTCCCATGAAGCTGTACATCATGAGTGATCCTATGACTGTGGTTAAGGCTTTATGCACTGTCAAAAGAAAAAAGAAGATAGGAATCAGTGGTGCAAGAGTAAAGCTGCAGGAAAGAAAATAGTAATTTTCTTTACAGCTTGGTGCTATAATGTTAATGTTTATTAAGTAGGGAATGGTTTTAAGAGACAGTAACACCCTGAAGAAGTAGATGGAAAGAGTAAAAACAAAAACTTCCCACATCTAGTTGCCACCACATGTCTGTCACTATGGCGTTGCATTCATTCAGACTTCATTTATATTAAATCAGAAAGGCTAAATGCATTCTTCTAAAACCACTTCACTTCCAGGAATTAGTGAATATATACCATTGCACTCCCTGAATCCTACCGTGACACATAGTCAGTTTGTGAGTCAATCCAAAACAAAGCGATTGCATTATTTTTATCATGTTTTCTAAAACATGAAGTTTTATGTGGGTCTTATAGTTCATTGATCTAAATTTATTCATATAATTTGTTTTATCGACGCAGTTATCTCTCACAACAAAGCAAAGGACAGCTGCAGACCTGGATAAACAAATCATGCCACCTGCAATGCAATCAGCTCATAGCAACACGTACTCTCTCGCTCACTCTTTGAATGTGTTTTATGTGCTTACAACTGCAGCAAATAAAGTGCCACAAAAAAAACAAATAAGGAAATAGACTGGCAATATAATCAGCAAATAACTTCCAATGATGTGAAAGGCAGTGACAGCTGACACAAATAAAATCTGGATGTAAGGTCATTTTAGGATAAGGGTATAGTTGCATAAGTAATCAGCACCCATGGATCAGACTAAACCCATCATCATACTCATCCTTTACTTTAATTTCAGCAAAACATTTGTGGAGTTTCACGACTATATCTTGTGTTAACAAACTCTGTCCACGTACAGACAGATATAAACACTCAAAACAGCCTTTGTAGAAATTCCAGTAACAGTTTCCATTTTGCTATTATGGCACACACACATACACATTGAAAACAGTATCAGCTACAATACCAACTATGCACTTGCACTATCAGCCTTGGTAAATATTGAACAACTTTAAAAACATATCAAGCATCTGTTTCAAGACATGTGGGTTCAGTTTTTCTCTGAGCTGTAAGAGCAAAATTCAGACGGCATACATCTGCAACACTGGTGTGTAACATCTGAACGTCATATTCCTGTCAGGATATATAAAACAAACAGACAAATCTATAATTCTCAAATCTCAATCTTTATGGGATGAAATCTTTAGAATCATTAGAAATGCTTGATGTATTATTTAAAACTATCTATGAATATACTGAAAATAAAGACCCTGAAACATGAAATATACACACATTATTACGAAATAGTCACAGTGCATGAAAACTGGTTAGCAGCCAGTGTTATCCATTCTAGTTTATAAATTCTACTGCCATTAACAAATCCTCCCCCACCATCATCTCACCTGAATTCCTCAGGATAAATCAACCCTCTTAAGTATCAGGCTTTCCTTAGGGAAAGAGTGAGAGAGAGTGCAAGCCAGGAGTGAGCGAATGTCAAAGAGGATGGCCTAGGCTGAATTCCAAAAGGTTAACCCCCCACTTTTCTGTTGATGGAGGCAAAATCCTTTAAAACAATCAGCACAGTACAAATGGATATGAGTTGGTGTGCAAAAAGCCATGTGACACGTTCCTGCTGAACTACATGGGAGCATTTGGGGGGGGGGGGGGGGGGGGGGGGTGTCAGGGGATGCTGCTATTGGGGTAAGGGGGAGGGTCTGTGATGCGAGGCTGCTGCAGCACAGTCCTTGTCTGTTGTTCTGTTTGGTGTTCTGGAACTGTGGATGTGCAAAGGCTTGCAGTACTGCTGCGGTCAATGGAACGTGCTGAAGTGCACACTTTCTTTCAGTGTAACTGGGGCGTGGTCATGGGGACACGTTGATGCTTAAAACAGATACGTAAACTTACACAGTTCATGTATAGTGTGCTCTGCATGTTCACAGTGAATATGTGATGATGTTGACAAGGCAGTTGCCTAACAGTTAAAGGTTGCCGTTTATTGCATAGTTAAAGAAATATCAGCTAAACCTACCCTACTGGATTTATTCTACTAACACTAGCACACGTAATCTCAACGGCCTTGTCGTTTACACCGTCACTGTTCTATTGCAATCCATTACAACAATTATGATAAATTGTCAGGGGCTGATGTGATGTGGTTGGTGTTTGTTGGATAGAAATGGTTTAAATTGAACTGTGTTACACTGAGGAGTTTGTTTGACAGCATCATTTCATAATCTTTTCTGGAAAAATTACAGTGTATAAACAATCTAATATTTGCCAAATATTAGGCAACAGTAACCAGTCACAGATGATATATGATACATCTATATCTCTAAAACTCTTGTTTCCTGAAATTTGTTCTTGCCCTATGACAGTAAGGGGAGACCACCCACTCATTGTTACCCTGAATGAATTTATCATTAGTAGGAAAAAGATTTCAGCATCTTACTTGCACACTGCACAACACAACACACCCCTCAGTGAAACCTTGTCTCCTAGTTCCTCATTTCTGCAATCATTTTAATGAATGTTACGCCATGGCTGTACTTGGCTAGTTGTAGTCTAGTCTGTAAGCTGTCTATCTGTATCCTCACATATAACTGTAGAGTTTTTTCTTATTTACTAAGCAGAAATTAATAGTATTTCACGATGCCACTTTTTTCAGTTTGTATTTCTAAGTACGTGCTGGTTTCCAGATAATGCTGCTGGCCACACGTCATATAACCTCATTTACTCCTGAACATGTCAACATACAGAGATAAAGAGATAATAGGATTGATAAATGCGAAAATCCCCAAAAGGGGGAATAACATAATATGTTGTGACCTTTACTGATCTCTTGTCACATTGTGGTTTTATGTTTTTATTCACTGTTTATGCATTTAACACATTTTTACTATGAATGCACTGAGTCTCAAGAAGCCAAACAACCCACAAATTCTCTGTAATTTTCACAAGAAGAACTCTGATGATGCAAATTTGGTTCTTCCTCATTTTGATCATGAATGCTGTCAGTCAAACAGATTAGAAAGAAGTTTTAAGTCAGACCCACAGCTGCTGTGGTGTCATGTTTGCTTAAAGACGGTGTTGACAGGTTTGTTCATTTAACCACCATATAAATCTTTCACAAGATCAACTGCACATTTGCAAAACATATGATCAATATGATTGAAAGAAATAGACTGTTGTTAGTTAGGACTGAAGTGATATTACACTGACTAAATTATAACTATTTTGTTTAGTATTTAAGACTGAGATAAGCAATAAGCACTAAATAAACATCTTTAGGGAGTAATCGCACGCTGTACTAATGGTCCTCACTCTGTGAAAATTAGAAGCTTTTGCCAAGTTTTTCCCCAAAAGTCAATATTGCACCATGTGGCTGAAAACTGTGAGAAATCATGAGAAAGAAGAAGAAAGAAGATAAAATGAAACACCAGACCAGAAAATACAAAAACAGAGGATTGTCAAGTTAAAGCAAAACAACGTTGACCAAACACTAATGAAGCAATTTCAACACAAGTGTGACTGTCGTAATTTTTTGCCACTTATGTTCTCTACTTGGGAAAGCTAAAACCTCAAGAGCACTTCCTCAAAGTGTATAATCGTGTTGAATACTAGCAGCTTAATTTGAAAATCTGCATTATAAGATTTTCAAATGACCAGATTAGTGTGCATCGTTCATTATTTTCATGGATGATGCACATAAAGATTTTAAATTTTTTTTTTCATTTTTCACTATTGTTATAGGGTTAATTAAATCCTTTTACTAAAATATTTAATATAGCAATGAATAAGAGTGGCAATGAGTTTGTGATCTTATTGCAGATTGGCTTACTTTGACTGTAGTAAACTACAAACTTTTAGGGGACAGAGGAAGCCAAATATTATAAATACAGACTTGTCAAACCATGTTTAACCATATTCTTTCCTCTACTTTCTTCTTTCAAGTTCATGTTACGGCACTAGAGCACCATCTACTGCACAGTTGTATAATATCAGCTCACCACAATGAAAAAAGCATTGCTGAGAGAAGCTGGCACTAACCACCACCCTCACCACTAGCCATGGAAAGTTATTTTTTCTCACAGCGTACCTAATGTGCATGCAATTTACATAGGCATTTAAATTTAATGTTACTCCTTGAGATTTTACTTATCTCACCTTGAGGTGTGTTATTGGTACTTTTACTTAAGTAAAATGTTTTCTTCTTCTACCACACTTCACCACTTCCACATTTATGTGCCTCCCAAAGACAAGATCACTGTTACAACCCGGCTCAAAAGCCGCAACATAAAAAAAAGGAGATGAATAACAGAGTGTGGGTGAGAAGAGGTTTCATCCTAAAATGGAAAACCAGGTTGGCTAAAATGGCTGGTGCCACCAAGGCAAAGACTAGTGCACTGCCGGAAAGCTTGCCTCAGGTATGCTTTTATCCACACCTGACTAGGTGTGGCCAATTAGCACCAGCTGAAAACACTGAGACGATTAGAAGCTGCAGAGGGACGTAACAATCACCTTATTCCGAAGTAAAATCTGCTACATAATTATGTACCACAAAAGAAATTGACTGTCATAAGGGATGTTGAAGGGTCTATAAATGAGCCCCACATGATTTCAAGTAAACATTAGAAATAAGAATTGATTTTTATACCTTTAAATTTAGTTGCTTATGTTAATCCTTGTCCATTTGTGTTCATCAATTCTTTCCATTATGCTGCAGCGTCTTGTGTGGATGATGCTCAAGATCTTACATTAATGTTTATCGAAACATTAGCACTTCTAGCATTGGGCTAGAAAAGGATAGTTCCCACTAGGTCAATTGACCTTTTGAACAAAAACACTGAGTTGCATCATGAGATTTTTGCATTTAGATGATTTTAAAACAGGGGCTGATCCAAAAGGACCATGTCAAGTCATATTCTTGTCTCAACAGGGGAACTCTCGACTCCGCCACAATGAAAAAATAAAAAGTTAATCGGTCCATAAATATTATGGTGACGATGGGATCTAATGGTGAAACATATGGCTTGAGGATTAGTATATGCAAAACAGCATTTGCTGGGGAAATCAGCTCTTCCAAGGAAGTGATACTTCCTTCTTCACTCTTTTTCTAACTGTAGTGTAATTACTTTAAACATTTATAGAGGTGGTCACACTTGCTGACGATCAGTTAATAGTGCTCTCTTAATTTCTATGAGAGCAGTAAGGGTATAGTTGGCTTTTCACTGGACTGCTTCTGCATTTTGGCCTAATTTTTCCTAAATAAATAACTATACAGTGTAATATGCCATGTTTGTAGTTCATCTCTAACATAATTTTAAGAACTGCTATGAATCTTAAAAGAAAGTTATTTTTCATGACATTAGATTCCCCAGAAAATGTAGGAAACAAACAGTCAAGAAAAACATGAACAAAATCAAGATTTTATTCAAAATTTTAAATTAAAATAATGTTATGCCAATATTTTTAAAACAACAGAAAAACCTGGGCAAAAGCCCATGATGCTGGCCTACGAAAGTGCACTACTACACAGGATATTAACTTGTCCTGTATTTTAAAAATTATCCTTTAATTTTTAAAACAGCTACCTAAAAGAGAGAAATCCCCCTGGATTTAAAAGAGTCAGGTGGAAAGGTCAGGAATAGTGGTCAAACTGCTAACCAAACTAATAAAAACATTAAGAATATATATATATGTGTGTGAATACAGGAGTGCAGAATTATTAGGCAAATGAGTATTTTGTCCACATCATCCTCTTCATGCATGTTGTCTTACTCCAAGCTGTATAGGCTCGAAAGCCTCCTACCAATTAAGCATATTAGGTGATGTGCATCTCTGTAATGAGAAGGGGTGTGGTCTAATGACATCAACACCCTATAGGGCTTTGGAGTTGACGTCACGCCGCAATGCATTGTGGGAGCGCGGCGCCATTTTCGGGGTCTACGATCCAAACAAACTCACTGTTGGAACGGCGACGACGACAAGAAACATGTTTAAAAGCAACTCAAAAGAAAACGGACGGTATAGAGACCGATTGCGTCCAGAGGCGAAGCAGCGGTATTTGAAAAAAAATAGAGTGCATCGCAAATCTGGACCCATACGACATACGGCAGTGGAGTAAAGACCCAGACGACTTACCGCCACTGTCCTACCCCGATATCTTCACCTATCTTGTTTGTGGAGTAAGCGCTTACACTGCGAACCAGTTTCGTAATTACAAGTCACTGGAGGCGCACATCCAATTTACAAATGGCTGGGTGCAAGATTTGGCTATTTTCAAGCCGCCAAACTCTTGAGTACGTCGTCAAAGTAAGTCAGCTGGAGTGCATCGAGTGAAATAGCCATTTTCCACCCCCCACCATAATTAATGTTATACATTTATCAGTAAACTGCTAAAATATCGTTATCATATTATGTGCCCATAATTGTAAAGTAGATGCAAATTAACACATTGATAATCGGGCAAATTATTAACGCCAATTTGTGTCCTCCCTGTCCTCCTGCGAATCTTTACATAGCACACATGT